GAGGTGGTGTTTGAAAGGCGGGAGGTCTCCGAGGCTTCGGGACAGAACCCACAGGACTGATAATGGGAAGCGGCAAGAGGTAGGTAAAGCCCCTGAGCGGGTCCCGATCAAACCTGAGAGCGACCCGGGACAGCGCGTGAGGGGCGACGACCCGCCACAAACTGGCTGCCAGCCTGGGCCTTTGTGAGACTGTGGCCCGCACACAAACTTAAGAGGCCTCGATACCAGGACAGAAACCAAAAGGCATGACCGAGACTGAGAAAGACATTTGCATACTGAGAAAGTGTGAAACACAAAGATGGGAGGATCAGCTAATCAGACAGAGGTTCACTCAACAAGTGTTTGTTGACCACCTCCAAATTTCGTAGGCATCCACCCTCATAGAATTTACATTCTAGAGAGAGGAGATGGACAAATCAATATATTTAAAGCAGAGTAGGGGTTAGGGAGTACAGTAAGTCCTCACTCTCGTGGGAAGATTCTGAAAGTGAAAGAAGGTATAAGGAAACCAATTTACCACAGGCTAATTAATATAAATAAGTTAAGCTCATATGGCAGCTTATCAACCTTTATAATCCGTGTTATTTAAGGACCTGCTGAAGTAGGTTGAGATACTAGAGAAAGACATTGAGATTCAGAGACTGAGACCTGGATTGGTACAGAGGGACAAACTTAGAGGACATACTGAAATATAAATGCAAAGATGGAAACGCTAAACCAAAGCGTCAAGATCTCGGGAAAATGAGACATACACACTGAAGCTAAAAAATAGTCACAGACAACAGAGGTTGAAAAATAAAAATGAATCTGGAAGCAGTTGAATGCCAAGAATAGCTAAGACAAGATAAAACGATCCAGCCACTGCTTCTCAACCATTTCCTATACCATCTTTGGAAGGGGAGAAAAGGCGAAAGTCCTGGTTGTCCAACACTGTGATCTTGAAAGCAGCCAACTCTGAACTTCCAGACATCAGCAAAGATCAACTAGTCAATCTCAAAGGTGAATAAGCAACTTTTTAAAAAGCCCTGTGGGGAAAACATATGTGGTACATGAGAAAAGAAGATACTAGAGCCAAAAATTACTTTTTTGAAGTATATTTAGTCCATGAAGCAGAATCCAGTTTAGAAAACACCTAATTCTTATTCTCAGTTATAAGAGGTCATTGCATCTTTTAAAAACAGACCAAGAATAATGGAAGGTAATATGAAATTCAAACCACAATAACAAGTAAAATTCATTGGTCAAAGCAGTAAAAAGCAGATTAGACATTGCAGAAGAGCAAATAAGCAATATAGAAGATAAGCATAAGGAAAATTCAAAGTGATGGAATTCTTTAAGAGAGAAAAATGGATAGGAGAACATCATGCAGATTCAAACTATAGGCATCCTCCAAGAGGAGACAGAGCAGATCAATTAGAGGCAATAATTAAAGTTATAATAAAAGAAAACTTTCCTTAGGTCTAAAAAGATCTGAGGTGGAGGTGGAGTGAGTTCACTGGGATCTAGAAAAATTAATAAACAGAAACCAACTTCAAGACTTAATCTGGAAAAATTCTTAAATTTCAAGGATAAAGATCAAGCACTAACAGTATCTGGTCAGAAAGAAAAAGATTATTTACAAAAAAGTTAACAACTGGTTTTCTTCAGATTCCTCCTCTATAATAATTTAATGCCTAAAGGAAAATGGAACGAGATTGACAGCACTCTGAGAGGATAGGTTGTAATCCTCCTTGGATGGTTTCATTCCCTCGACTTTATTCCTCCCAGATCTTTAACCATCGCTCAGAATTTCTCTCTTGAACTCCAAATAAGCATGTCCCCTGGAAAGCTGCAAATGACATCCCATAGGTGCTTCAGCTCCACATATCCAAACTGCCAATAGTCAACTGCACGTGTTCTGCACTCTTGCTGCCCGAGGGTTTGAATCTTGGCTGTTCCACCTACTACCTGTGTGACCTTGGCCTCAGTTTCCTAACTCTTCAGATGAAAATTACAGTAGTACCTACCTCATAAGTTTGTTGTACAGAGTAAATAAGACAACATATATAAAGCACCTGGCACATAGTAAGTATCCAATACATGCTATCTGTTGTTATTATCTACCCCACCCAAACCTGTTCATCTTGTATCTGCATAGCATCACCTTCACCCAGATACTCAAGCTGGAATATTGGGTATGATCTTTAACAACTCATTTTACCTCCGCCCCAACCCCTCCTCCCAGTCAACCGATCACAAATGCCTGTAAATCTTATTTCTTTAATATTTCGGCAGTCGTTGCTACTCAGAATGTCTTCAGACGAGCAGGATCAGCATTAAATGGGAATTAGTTAGAAATGCAGCATCTCAGGCCCTACTTCAGACCTACTGAATCACAATCTCCATTTTAATAAGATCCAGGTGATTCATAGGCATATTAAACTTTGAAAAGCTCTGTTTTAAATGTATCTACTTTATTCCCACTGCCATTCTATTGCTTAAAGCCTACTGTTTCAACTGTCTCACCTAGGCTAGTACAGTAGCATAAATTCTTCTGCTGTCAGTGTTGCCCATCTCCAATGGCTTCTTTTATACCCAGTCAGTCTTTCCATAACAAAATTGACCATGTCACTCCCCTTCTTAAAGCAAATCAGTGGCTCCCCATTGCACTCAGAGCAAGGTCTATGCTGCCTATCCCTCTACCCCAACTCCTTTTTCTCCGTCCTCCTTTACCTTCCATGTTCCAGACAGACAACTACCCTCAGTTCTCTCTTGTCTTTGAGTCTTAGCCTGTACTGATCTCTCCACTTTTCCAATATTTGTGGACTTTTTTTTTTAATTCCTCCCCTCACCCCCACTTCCACCCCTGACCTACGGAGGTTGCTGTCTCCCCTTAAGAACTGGATCTCTGAAGGTGGGGCGTCTCCTCTCACACACTCACGGCACACACCTGGGGCCTGGCACACCCAGGGGGCCTGGTGCGCCCAGGGCCTGGTGCACCCGTGGTATGGGCCGTGGCTCTGCTGGGTCTCAAACCCAGGATCTTCTGCATGTAAAGCAGACGTGCTAACCATTACTCTGTGGAACCACCCCATTTGTGGACTTTTTAAAGCCACCACACTATCATGGCATGATGTATTCCATCACTGATATTCTCCAGAGAACTTTTGCCTGGTTCCATGGGCACTAAGCAATCTTACGATTAGAGACTGGCTTGGCTTCACTTGTGGTTTTCTGACAGATAGAGTGCACTGACCAGAGGACAGCACTATTCAGGTCCTGTCGTAATTACTATTCATTCTAAGGTGGGGTTTAGTTATATATCAGTCTCTGCTGAGTCAGATTAGCATGAACCAAGTCCACAGGGAAAAATTATCCAGCGGTCCCCAGCCTTTTAGACACCAAGTAGTGGTGCTCCTATGAGAATGTAATGCCTGATGATTTGAGGTGGAGCTGAGGTGGTAATGCTAGGACTTGGTAGCGGCTGCAGATACAGAGGAGGCTTTGCTCGCTGGCCGGCTGCTCACCTCCTGCTGTGTGGCCTGGACCTGTACTGATCTGCAGCCTGGGAGTTGGGGACTCTTGATCTAGCCACAGTGACAACAACAAACTTCTGGAAGCACAAAGCTGAGAACTAGACTCTGGAACACTAAAACCAAACTAAGCCACTATTAAAGCATAAGACCCTACTCAAATGACTAACAGTCTGCCTGAATGTCTTTCTTATTGTCACTCTAGAGTGCTAACAGTTCACATATCTGTAGTCTTAGAAAACAATGGACATCTGTCATTTTTGCTTACATCAACTCCTCCTGGTAGCACAACCTAATTTTCCATTGGTAAACTGTCTCTTCCGCACTCATGAGTAAGCACGTGACCCAGGGCTCCCCAATCAGAGTCACAGATGATAGTTCAAAGGATGAGTACATGACCTGATCCAGGACAGTGCTCCCTTTCCGCTGGTGTGGTAGGGCAGTGAGTACAAGTCTAGGGCCAAACATGCCATGATGTGAGAAATACTCTCTGAAAATGAAAGTGATACAGGAACAGCAGAGTCCAGATTTGGAGACGATTTCCTATGACATAGTTTGAGGCCGTATTCAGCTCAGCCTGGACATTACAAGTTCATGAGCTAATATAGTCTCTCTATTTTTTTTTTTTTTACTGAAGTCAATTTGAGTTAGATTTCTGTCACTTGAAACCACAGAGTTTCTGACTAATACCCTACCCAATTAACTCTCTTTTCTGCAAAAATTGCTCAGAATTGTATAATAAATCACCAAGACATGAATCAGAAACTCATGAATGATGAAATGAGAGAAAAGAACTGGCAATGAGCCTTGAAACTAGCTAAAGATAGAGAGGTAACTGAATAAAAACACCACTCAGTATAGACTGTTTGATGCTGATAAGTTGAAATAATTGTTACTATGGTAACACAAAATGCAAAAGAAGAGAAGGAGGATTTTTTAAAATAGCAGGGTTTTTAACTTCGGATTAACGCAATGAAAACCAGAAAGGGAGAGAGAGGGTAGAAAATGCCAGGCACTAGGTCTTGTTTTACATAAAATAGAGATAAAAGTTATTTTAAAAATAGTATAATGTTATGTATTTTTTCATTGTAAGAAGCTTTTTGTGGCATAAAAATCTTTATGTCTACGTTATAAATTATTACAGGAGGCAAAGGAGAAAATATAATTTACACAGCAAAAAATCAACAGTCCTGCGTCAAGAAGTGTACTAGACACTTTCTTCACATTGTAAATGGAAAAGAAATCACAAAGAATCATAAAAACGGTATCAAAGCACCAGAAAATTTCATAATGGAAAGTAAGACTAGGTGTAACAAGGAAAATGTAAATAAGGAAGAAAATGTAAACTATAATTTCTATATAAAAATATGAAAATCTCAGATCAGATCAAAGGGCAAACTCTGAATGTATACTCTTGTTAAAAAAAAGATGTGCCAAAAATACATGTAGTATAAAAAGGCATTTTGAAATCAAATGTACCAAATGATATAGCAACACAACAGGAAACAAAAACCTTTAGAAATACAATCAATAGAAACAGTTATAGTAAAATATATTACATACCACT